GGGTGCTCACTCAGCCGATGGCCTTGGCTACCTCATCGGGGCAAAGGAGAGGTCAGCCAGCCATGCTGAAGGCAGTGGGCGGGGCAGCTCCATCCCCCAGGCCTTGGGCTCCAGGGCACAGTGACACCTAGGGCCTGACCTCTGCTCCTCCCATGACACACCGCACAGTCCAGTGTCGCCAGCAGCACCAAGCAGCCATCTTCCCTTCTCCCCACATGACTGGGCACTGGGCTCAGCAAACTCTCTTCACCTCTTCCGAATGCTCTTTATTTCTGCCTCTGCAGATATAGTGCTAGGGACTGGGACAAATTTCAGGCCTCCTTGCTATGCCCATGGGAATGGGCAGCCATCTTGGCTTCTACCACAGGCCTTCTCCAAGTGTCCATGGAGGGGACTTTTCACCCTTGGCAGTATCTTCTGGTCCTGCCTGTTTTCTGTGCTTGCTCTTCCTGGATGGCTCAGGCTTGGAGAGGAGACCACAACAGGAATAATGGGTGTTCTGGGAGGACCCTTCAGACCAAAGCAATGCTTGTGCAGTGTTCTGAATTCTGACACCTCTGCCACCCACCGTTGGCTTGGAGAATTGAGGTTTCACTGCTTTTGTTTCAGCATTTGTCCTGGGCACCACTCTGGCATTCCATACTCTTTTCTAGATCACACAGCGTAAACTGAAGTCTGACAGAAGGTGTTCTGACGTTTTCCTTCTGTCTTCTGTGCTCCTCTCCTCTGTTAGCATCGAGTGCTGGCAGCACAGGGACCAGAGCATTTTGGTCGTCACCAGCAACACCTGTGCAGAGGAACAAACTCACTAGCAAGGGCCTCGCTGTCCACAGACTGTTCCTCACAGCCCTCTCTGTTCCTTGCAGGCACTGGTTAACATGGAAGGTGACAACAAGCTGGTGACAACATTTAAGAATGTCAAGTCTGTGACTGAACTCAACGGGGACACACTGACCAGCGTAAGTTGGCACTCTGAGTTTATGACTCTGGGTGCTGAGGGAGGAGGAGGAGGTGAAGGGTGAGGAGCAGCTGCGCTCCTCACCCGATGCCTCGCTTTCCCCCCTGAGCTCCAAATTCTCCGCCTTTCTGTATCTTCTACCACTTCACTGAGGGTCCTTATGGAGCAGGTGGTTTACACAGCATCTCTAAGCTTCCCAACAGCAGCTTCCTAAAGGGGAAACTGAGGCAACAAAGAGCCATGGAATGGCAGAGCCAGGTTCCTCTGACAATGGGTCTCTCAGGGCTGCCATCCACAGCTCTTCCCAGGGGCCGCGACTCTGACTCACACCACAGAACTTGTGGGTTTGTGTGCTTAGATGTGGTCTAAACTCAATGAATGTTTACATTTTTGAAGAATGTAGTACAGTAGGACACGTTGCCATAGTGCTCCCTTGAATACGCCACCTCCCTTCAGACAGACCTCCATGCTTAGCTGTTGGACACACCCTATCCCAGGTTCGGAGCGAACCTGCAGTGTGTCTCCAGCAGCTCTGCCCCTCTGGCTCCTCCTTCCCTCAGTGTGGCTTAGAGAGTGGCAGAAGGTTTGGGGAACCCCAGAACACTGTAGTCACCAGGTTCAAGTGGGAACATCCCTCAGCCAGGGACAGTGTGAGCATCAACCATGAGTGCACAGTCCTGCACCCACACCGGCACCTTCACAGCAGGACAGGGGGCAGGAGATGAGTTGTCCAGGATGAGACTTGGCCAACATCCTTTGGTAGCTCCATCTTGCCTCATCCTCCAGTCTCCTGCGAGGGAGGCAGGTCATAGGTGTCAACAGTCAGGTTGACCTATCCAAGGTCATCCAGCTGACAAGTGATAGAACCAGGGCTCCCGTCTACTCTGAGCAGCCACTCCATTGCTGCTGGAGCTAAGGGGCGCCTTTGTCACGCTGACCACAGGCTATATCAGTGCGGCTGTCTGGTTCAAGAGAACCAACATGGTGGAGGGAGCATCCCCTGGGGACCCCAAAGCTGATGTGCCAGTGTTTTCACCTACTTCATTCACAGCAATAGGAGGAAAATCGGGCAGTGCCCATGACGTCGCAGGCTTCTTGCCTGCTATTCCATGCCCGTGTGTCCTTGGTGCCCAACATGGTATTGACACATAGTAGATGTACTATAAAACTTTGCAAAGCTGGATTGCATTGGGCAAGTCTGGGTGATCTTCTTATCCATTTGTGTAAAAAGAAGTCAGCAAACGGCAGCACAGCTGTGCCCTGGCCAAACTGAAGTGACGTAGAATTGATATAGGATTTCGTGGAAAGTTTCTAACCTTTCTCTGGTCCTATGGAAAATAAAGAAATTGCTGAGTTGTTTCATGTTTTTCCATATCTACAGTTATTTTGGGGGTATTATTATTAATTAATATTAATAAGAAACTAATTATTAATTTAATCTATTATTATTAATTAATTAAATTTATTATTAAGTATTAATAACAAATTAATTATTTATTTTTACTATTTCACATCAGGTGAACATTTCATAATTTATTTTCTGACTTTTAGACCATGACAGTGGGTGACATCGTCTTCAAGAGAATCAGCAAAAGAATTTAGAGAAGTGTGCATTTCATATTTTCCTATTGTGGAAAATTAATATAATAAAGTTCATTTTAAAAAAGTTCTTTTGTGATGAATTGTCACTGATGATGCTGTTGGTATCAGTGAACTCTGATCCTGTATGACACTCTCTATGACACTTCCCAGTTAACAGACTTTGGTAACTTGCACATGCTCCTCTACCATATCAGATCTGAGGGCAATTTCACCCTGATCACAGAACCCTTGCTGCCCCCGGGAATAGAAGGCCGAGTATGGCTGGGTCTGGAGGGCGGCCTGGCCTGCCCTTCCCAGGCAGCTGCGTGGATCAGGAGCTGCAACACAGGGTGTGCAGTGGGCTGGGTTGGCAGTGGTTCCCCACAAGGACTGGGGCAGCAAACCTGGGCAGGCAAGGGAGGGCTGTGCCCATGAGCACAACCACGGGAACAGCTCCTCCTGCTGTGGGAGGGCTGAGTGAGGGGCTGAGAGAGGCAGCCGGGTCTGGACAGAAGCAGCTTGGCTGGAAGCTCCCTCAACCCTAAGGGCAGACACAGGTGTGGGAGGAGAGAAAGTCCCTCGACACTACTTCATGTCACACTGGTAGGTGCTGAACTGTACCCTTCAACAATGCCAGCCTCGAAGCCCTACACCCTAGTAGCTCAGAACATGACCTGATTCAGAAATAAGGTCAGATGGCCACTGTGACTGGTGAAGTTAACAGGAAGTCACAGTGGAGCAGGGTCGGCCCCTAATTCAATCTGCTGTTCTCCTTATAGAAAGGGGAAACCCGGGCACAGAGACTGCACGTGGTGACTGTCCTGTGAAGACTGGAGTCAGGCTGCCACAGACTGAGCAATTCCTCAAAAGTAGGAGAGAGGCTGGGACAGGTTCTTCTCCAGTTCCTTCAGAGAATGCTGAGCCCTGCTCACTCCTTGCTCCAGGCCTGAGCCTCCAGAATTGTGAAATAAGACATTTCTCATGTTTGGGCCACACAGTCCATGGGACACGCAGCCCTGAAATCTAATCCGGTACATTGACCGACCCCTTGTTCAGAGTCCTGCCCTCTCTGCCATCCCACCTACAGAAGGTCTTTCAGTGGCCACAACTGTACCTGGTCCACAGCCATCCTCAATAATGGGCTGGATCCTTCACATTGGAGTGGAAACTTGAAACCTCATTACTTGCAGCTTGATTGCATCATGGGCCGCCTCCCTGGCCCCCTCACCTGCAAACCCGCTCCCCTCCCAGTGGACTCACCTTGGTCACACACCTTTCCTGACCTTCCTAGCTCCTTGTCTACAATTGAATCACACTGCTAATCCTCTCACCCACATATGTACCCACATCAGGAGTTGGGAAACTTTTCTGTAAGTTTCCAGAGAGGAAATATAATCCAGCTTTCTGGCCCATTTGGACTCTGTCCCAGCACTCAGTTCTGCCACTGTAGCTCAAAGTAGTCAAGGACAGTGTACAAATGGGTGTGGTTGTGTTCTGGTACATGTTTATGTATGGGCATTGTTATGGCTTACACCTAGACGCCTCCGTAAGCTCCTGGGATCCTAGGTGTGACCTTTGGAAGGTGACTGGATTATAGGATATTATAGCTGACTTGATTTAGTAGGTAGGGCCTGGTCAGAAAGGTGAGTCACTGCGGGCATGATCCAGAAGGTTTTATCTCCCTTCCCAGCAGCAAGCCTAGAGCAACTTTTCCTCTCCCTCGCCCCTCTGCCATGCTCGCCTGCCTTAGAACCAGCTGACTCTGCACCGAAACCTCTGCAGACTGTGAACCAAAATAAACTTCTCCCCACTTAAGTTGCAAGTATCAGGTTTTGTGCCCCAGGATGAAGAAACTGACTATTAGAGACACTGAAATTTTTTTCATAGAATGTTTCTATGTCATGAGATAGTACCGTTGTTCTGGTTATTTTCTTAGCTGATATATTACAAACCCTGGAAAGTGGCGCAGTCTGGATCATAGGTTCTAGTATGCAAACCCCTGCAATCCTAGCCTGTCTTGCTTTAGTCTGTAACACACTTTCTAGTAAAGCTAAACAATATCTGAGTCTCCTTGCTGTTCGAATGCCCTCTTCTAAGAATTCTTCTCAGTTAGGCGAGCATAAATGTCTCTCTCCTCTCCGGAAGTTCATCTTTGCCAGTTCTCAGGAATAGAGCTCCTTCTACTTTTTACATAGTTTTCTGCGTTCCTGGAGAAAACTCTCCAGGAGTTTTCTGTCTCCCAGCTCTCTGTCTCCCAGCTACAGTGGAATTGTTGGGGAAAAAGAGATCAATTACTTGGGGAACTAATGTAGACTGAAAGGAAAACTTAGAGCTGGGGCAAAAATCAATGGCACACGACAATATACCATTCACAAAAACCATTCCAGATGAAGTAAACTGATAAATATGAAATGTTAGATACCACAGTAGGGAAAGAACATCAAATATAGAAGACTTTCTTGGGGCTGGGGATTTAGCTCAGCGGCAAAAGCGCCTGCCTGGCAAGTGCAAGGTTGTGAGTTCGGTTCCCGGTACCGGAGAAAAACCAAAACAAAAAAAAAAAAAGAAGAAGAAGAAAAAAAATAGAAGACTTTCTTATATAAGATGCAAATTCCATGAAGAAAAAGATGAATAAGTTTGAATAGTTCAAAAAAATTTTTTATGAAAAATATAATGTAGGGGCCACAGATATAGCACAAGATCCTGAGTTTCATTTCTGGTACAAAAAAAAAAAAAAAAGAAAAAAAAAAGAAAAATATAATGTAAAGGCAGAAGGTGTAGCTCATGGGTAGAGTCCTTGCCTAGTGTGTGGAAAGCCCTTGTTCTATCCCTAACACCAAAAGAGAAATAGAAACAGAAGACACTGTAAATGAATTTTTTGTTTTTTTACAGAAAGGCACCATAGGGGAGAAAATACTTGTGACTTATATAAAAAGGTTAATAGAATATAAAAATCACTCCTAAGTCAGTAAGAACCCCAAGAATTTAGTGAAAGATGGGTTAAGGGCACTGCTAAGCAACTCACAATATGAGGTATGTTTATTTATATAGTAGTAAAAAATGAAGCCAGTAACACGAGATGTCCGAAGTAAAATTCTACTAGTAAACAGTAATATGTTAATCACGTCCAAAGTTTACAAGGACATGGTGACTAGCTCCACCTTCAGGGGTGGAGATGTAAACTGGTGAAGCCCAGAGGGATGCAGCGCCACCTGGCGGCTTTCCTTAACATTATCTATGTGAAGTCCCTAACACCTAGCAGTGCTGCCACTGCATAGCTCCCCTGAGAAGTGTTTGTGCGCATGCACAAAGAGAAAAGTAAAGGGTGTGGTAATCTGGAGCTGGAACCAAATATTCATTGGTAAAATGTTGGTATAGCCATGCTCTGAAGGAATCTGCAATACACTAAATGTACACTGTAAGTAGATCTAAACGTGCTGACGTAGAAGTACCTCTAAGCTAAGCTGTTAGAAAAGCAGTACAATAGCTTCATGTGTGGTTTTTGGGAGGATCCCATGAAGTGACTCAAGCCAAATGCCATCCAGATAAAACCTGTCACTGCTGACGTTCTCACATTCCTCAGAGAAGGTCGTTGGCGGTGATATTCGGAGTCTTCACAGAAACTCTGTCGCCCCCAAAGAAATTAACCTCAGAGCGCAGAGGCAGAGGAACAGGAGATGAGGGTTGCTTGTCCACTGAGCTAATAAACCGTGGGACTGAGGCTGTGTGACTCAAGCCGCAGGAGGAGCAAAGAGAGCAAAGTCTCAATGAAGCCTCCAGGGAGCTATCTGCCTAGATCCCCAGACCCCCACTAACCAGTTCTTCCCCTGGGAACAGCTCTGGGAGGGAGTGTTGTAGCTTTTGCCTGAGAAGGGGATTTATTTTAGACGGGGCATTTGGATTTGTGTAGGTGCCCAGAGAACTTTGGGCAGGAAGCCTGCTTTACATAAACTGAAAACAGCTGTGGGTGGGATCAGATATTTTTCTCTTGATCTCTCCCCCTCCTCTGAGCCTGTCCTGTGGGCATCTCACCAACAGGGAGCGCTCTTTCCAGTAAAAGAGCACTGATTGGTAATGGAGGATTCTGGTGTCTATAATCACAGCGAAATATGTTCTCATATATATTTTTTTAAAAACCGGAGGTGATGGGGATCAGAGGTGGAGGAGGGAGTCTACCTTGGTTACACTTGATAGTCAGAACCCCCCTCCTTTAATGCATGGTGAGCATCCCATAGTTTTGTGGCATTTCTTACCAGGAAAACTTCAGGAGAAGTTTGAAAACATCCAGGGATAATTACTCTCCAAGGAGTGAGAGGAAGATGGGGTTTGGAAAGACAGGAGGGAGAGAAGGGACTGAGTCTCCACCGTGAATTTCCCTTACCTCTGGCGATGAGCTTGGACTTGATTAGTGAGAATGGATTGTCACAGTTTAAATAGGAAGTATCCCTAAAGAGTGATGTCATGTATTGCGGGCTTGATCGAGAGTGCAGGAGTGTTTAGAAACAGGGTCTAGAGAGGCATCCGGATCATAAGTGTGCTCATCACATCAATGCGTTCATCCGCTGATGAGTTAGTTCCCAGCTGAATGGGCTGTTAGGAGGTTGGGGCCCATGTGGAGGCTATGCCTGGTCCCCAGCCCCTTCCTCCCTAGCTCTTCCCCTGATCTCTCCTGTCCAGAGGACGTGATTAGAGCAGATTTCCCCTGCCATGCCCTTCAGCCATGCTATTTTAGCCTTGGAGCCAGACAATCATGGAGTGAAACCTCTGCAACCATGAGCCAAAATACATGTTTCCTATTTTAAATTGACTCATGTCAGGTATTTTGTGTCAGTGAAGGAAAGCTGACCAATATATGGATGAAATAATCAGCCCAAAGTCGTACAGCTAATATTAGGAGTGCTGGGATAAAGGTAAACTTAGTCTAGCTTAGTGTCTATGCTCTTTAAAACTACACTGACACATCTCACTAAAATCTAAAGCAATAGATACTTCTTGCTTTGGTATTTAAGCATATGTTAACTGAAATTAAATTAAATTTAAAATTTCAATTTATCAGCC